ACGCACACTCTAGTCTTCGGCTGCATGGTGTCCTCCTGGTGTGTTGGGCTACAGCGCTCAATGTCCCCCACCAGTCTGGGACTTCCAGCAGAGTCACAAAGCCTGTAGGAACAGGGAGGTCATGCCTGGAGTCTTCTGTCAGCCATCCTAAGCCTGTTTACGCAGGATTGGCATTTTGGCTTCCTCAATTACCTATGATTTTAGGTTATTTGCAGCAGTGGGGTTTTTAATTATTGCTGGAGTCATTTGCAGAACAGCTGAGATCTAGAGTCTTTCTGAAGGCGCCAAAGCAGACAGAGGGTGTCCTAACAGTGCCAGCTAGGCTTTGGGCAAGAGCCCCTTCTCTCAGGTGGGGTTGGGCAGGGGGAATGAAAGCAGCTAAACCAACCACGCTGAGGCCTGGAGCGCTACTGTTGACACTCAAAGGCTCAGGGAATCGCTGAGTTAGGGAAACCTTCTCCCTCGGCAGTCCCTGCTCTTTCTGTCTCTGTTCCTGCCCCGCTGACTTATCAGTGCAGCCTCCTCGGCCTGCCAACTTCCTCGCATCCGCCCAGCAGAGGAAGGTTCAGCCTGCCTTCAGCTCAGCCTGTCCCCACCAGCAGAAACAGTCAGGGGTGGGGGACTTCTTGCTTTGTTCTTGGCGATCCCAGGCCCTGTGACGACACCACTTGAAGAGGTGCTGCTGAAGAAGGCCCTAAAAGTCCTTCAGGGTCACCTCAACTCCAGGTGACCCACATGGACACACGTCCATGCAGTTTCCTTGGTGTGACACAGCATGGGCTTGCCATTGTCTCCTTCCAGACTGGTTTGTCCAGAAGCTTTCCAGCTGAAGTTGATGTTGATGGTTAGCGGTTGATGGTTGATGTTGACCAGGCTCACCTCTGCAGGGAGGCTTTGACAGCCGGCGAAGGCATGGATGAGCCGCTCTTCTGTGTCCAGGTTCTGAGCCAAATAGTTCTCCTGCCTTCTTGCTTAGATCCCCTCCCCCAGATTTAACCATACAGTTTGTTTCCAGCAGCTGTTGCAAATTATGCCAAACATCTTGTGTTGTGCTAGCCTAGATGAGGCCCTTATTGTCAGCCCCCCCCTCGAGGTTTTCTTTGCTGGGAGTCTAGTAGGTGGGACATGCTCCTCATCTTCCAAATCGGACGTTTTTTGGAGGGGTGGGGGACAAAAAGTTGGGGATCCAAGCAAGAACTGAAGAGGGCGGGCAAGGCAGGCAGAAGAGAAGGGAAAAGAGCTTCAGAGATTCTGCTCTGCATTGGTGGAGAAAGATGAAAAAGCTGAGGCTGGTGATCCGTGCCAGCCATCCTCCCACTCCTACCCACGTCCTGGAGGGCCTTGGAGGAGATTTTGCCTGACAATGGACTCCCTATGTGCTTCTGTGCCCCACAGAAACAAAGGCTCAGCCGAGCTGCCATTTGGTTCCCTAGTTTATCTCGGTCTCTGATCCATCAAACCGACCCCAAGGGAGAGGCGTTGGAAACCGGCACTTTTCGGTGGCAACAGCCTGGGACTCTGTGGGACGAAGGGGCCGCAGAAGGGCGAGGAGAGATCAGCCAAGGCCCACATCCTTTGCAGCGAGATACGCTCGGCCTTGCTGAATGGGGAAACGGATCCAAAGTTTGAAAATGCTGCTGCGTCGGGGTTAGATTAAGCTGGCAGGAAGCAGCCTTGAAGACTCTTATCTGCGGTCTCAAGAGATTCTGCACTCTGCTGAGGACAGATCCCTGTCATCTGATCCGCACCACAGTCAGAAACTTAATTTGGATGTGAATCGGGCACCGATTATGTTCGTCTTTTGGGATCTTGGTTATATACAGCTCTGGGGAATATTTTGTCCAACAGGCAAAATATTTAAAGTTTATTTTGTTTTAAGAGCCCTAATGTGAATCTTAGCAAGTGTCCTGGATCGGTTGAATTAACCTAGCACAGTGTTGTCCAAACTTGGCCGCTTTAAGATGAGTGGACTTCAACTCCCAGAATT